AGCGAAATACGACCGGAAATATGATAATCATGTCTGGTCAGAGTTCAAATGTATCTTAATGACATTATACGAAATTAATTTCATACTAGTTTATACATATTTGCGACGGAATGGGCCCACCACGGGGACAAGAAGACAAGACACCGCCTACCAAAATGAGTGAGAGGATATCCTGTGGGTCCCATGATTGCGTCATCATGTAATAGAACCGGAACCAGCAAACGCCTGCTTCTTTTGTTTCTTTGTGATTGTTTCGTCTCTTTTATTCCTCTTGAACTAGCAGGAGAACATGCAATAATTTCAACAAATTACAAGATTATTTAGGTTTAATAGTCATAAATATATTTACATAATAATAACAACTAGACACTGTTGCACCAGCAAGATAATGACTAGAAACCCACATGACCTCGTTTCATTTTGTTCTGAGGAATTGTTTTATGAGCTTTTCTCCGCACACAAACAACAAACTAAACCATATACTAGTTCATAGAAAACCATATAGTATCCTAACTCCAATAGAAGCATTAACTACTATCATAACATAAAACAAAAAATGTTCTACTCTCAGACGGCATGATGCAAAAAGTACATTGCAGGAATGAGGGTAGTATATATTCTTCAATGATGCTAATCTTATATATTAAAACAGAAGTCATGACTTGACTTCATGTGTGATTTTTTTAAAAATAGACTATTACTAGAAAATCATGTTACATTAACTCTCTAATAATCTTATCATTATTATGTCTTATGAAAAATCATATCTATAATAACAAACTTAACAATTTAGTTTTGGTAAATTACCCCACACCTTCTAATTTAGTCACGCAAAATATGTCAATAGATATAAGTTTAGGAATCTTCTATTATTTATAAAGAAATATGTCAATAATAGTTAAATGCATCCACAATATATTAACAAAAATCACAGATTTATAATATGGAATATTTATATACCCTAACAAAATTTACACGCTATATATACTAGATAAATTTATTTCCATGTAAATTTTCAAAATTATATAGATTTAAAAAAAGAAATTGTTTAAAAATTCCTTTTTAATAAATTCTTTATAATATTAACTTATGATGCTATAAGTTTAGTGTATAGCAAAAAAAAATTCAAGTTTATATTATCTTTGGAAATTAAAGTATACTAATATCTAATCAAGCTCTATTTATATTATTTTATCTAAATATGAAATACCAATCTAACAAACAATAAAAAATAAAAGAAGAAACAAACACATGTTTGAAAACATGTATAATATAAAAAAATTTGAAACAATCTATTTGATTAAAACACATATTATATAATATTATTATGTTTGAAAAACATTCACTATACATATCGTAAATATGCGATTACTATAATATATATCAATTTTACAAGTGAAAGTAAAATGTTTGTATAACTAACTATAAACGAAAACAAACACCCGCGCGGTTGCGCGGGTCAAAATCTAGTATGTAAATTAATTATCGAGGTATTGGGCGAATCTTATAAACTGAGAATGTCATATCTGGTGCAGTGGTAATCTTGGGTCGTTGCTACGAAAACTCTCTTTCTTCCAAATTTAAACATTATAAGTTTCTCTTTTATCAACGATTGCATACGCGTTGATTGATATATGTACAGTACAGTTCATCATGAAGACTTTAAAGCTTTGGATCTGGTATAATTGGAGATGATGCTCATTGCTCATTCATGCTAGTCTGGTGACGAGCGAAAAGCTCTATAATTCCATGACCCTGAGTAATTCAAATTTAATTATTTAAAGAATGTTCGCAGTAAAAAAGATAGTTTGGTGAAATAGTGTTATATGACATGGGTTGAGGTTAGGGTTGTGAAATAGTGTTTTATTGAAACAATACTTTTAATTAATATGTATTTCTTGTCGGTTAACGCATATTCCCAAATTCGAATTTTAATTATGCATTCATAAAAAAATACTAGGCGATATGCCGCTGTCTGTTAAACAAAAAAACATGTAAAGACCTCCATTATTTAAAGAACAAATTTTAATTAATGGTTACAGTAGCCAATAATGTCTAGGAGACAATTGGGACTTCACATCAACGGTGTTAGTTCGTCTAAAACAACCAAGCAACGTTATGACTAATTAATACCAATGATGATTTAAGATTCTTTTTTTCTTGGCTATATTCGGATTATTATAAAGCTTAAAATTCTATATTCGAAACAAATGAATTGTTTGTTTGTTCAAACTCAAGATTAGTTTAGAGATGATATAAGACATGAAAAGCTAATTTTGAAAGGAAATTGATATTTTGGTCGTTCCAATCGTTCTCTTAATTTTAATTTGATTTATATGGCTCCATTTGTTTATTTCGTATGTCCTATATTATACATTAATATTTTACGGTGTCTCCCAATGTAATGTATGCCCCATTTGACATTCAATTATAAATAATACAGGAAATTATAAAACAACAAACCATATTTGCATTATTCAATGCGCTATTGGCGGTTCAACAACATCAAATTATATTAAAGATAGTTATGTTCCCATGCATGTCAGCAATTTTGCATGATTGTACAAGTGTATGTGTATCTCAGTCTTCTCATATAATTTTTTTAACGAGAAGCGACATAAGTGGCAGAACAGAAAGCCAATGAACGACTCTCGTGAACGTAAACATGAACAAGCAAGCTGCAGTTGCTTATTATAATAACTAATTTGTTAGATATTTAACTAAGGCCTGCAAGAAAAGCGGTTCGTTAGAGTTATTCGAGTTTTCCAAACTGCTTTAGTCGCACATTGTTTCATGGTATTGGGGTTAACTAGAGTGTACGTAGTTTATTAACTGTATAATCAGTGGAACACTTGACTAAATATATGTGCGCTTAATTAGATCGCTTCAAGTTCAAACAACATCATTAAAACACAAGAAGTGTACTCATTTAGTTCGTAATGACAAGTATGTTAGAAGAAAACTATATATGCATATATCGAAATTTGGGTGTATCATGTAGGATTTGAACTCCCTTCTGATGACATAAAGTTACGAGATTTACTAGAGGGCCAGTTTCCGTTTCTATGAACGAAAGTACTGTTTGAAAGTAGATATGATGGTAGATCGATGATGCAGAAGTTCAACGCTACTTTTTATTATTTTTCAAAACTAATATTATACACTCGGGGGGAAATAGTATACACTAGAATATAGAGGAAGACGTCCACACATGAGTAAAGGTTGGTATGGTTGACGCTGAGAGCCGCCCAAATGTTTCTGGTGGCTGAGGAGGAAAGAGCATCGTGGTGGCCTGTTGGGTCACTCAATGCAGTTTAATTTCTTTTAAAAAAATCAATTTTCTTATCAATAATTAAAGATATAAATTCCTTGACTTCTAAAGCGGATTAAGTTTTGGATCGCAGTTCAGTTTGGTATGAACTTATCCTTCAAACTATAATATAAATTTAGAATTTTATCTAATAGTTTGTATATGTGTTGTCGATATATATATTGCTGCATACACCACTCAGATCAGACGCATATAAAAGATATGCATGTTATTGGAAAGAAAAAAAAATTTAGAAGAAATAACTTAATTCTGACATATATTGTTTGTAATACTAGTTGCAATTTATCAACAGATAATAACTAAAAATATTTTATGACTAAAACCGAAAACATAATACATGTGAAAATAAAATAAAATGATAACAACAAAAAAATTAGATAGCAGTATAAATTATCTTAATCACAGTTTTTGCCGTAAGGTGTTGAGATGTGTATACTTTTCTTCATTTGTTTATAAAGATTTGTATATACGTATGTGTTTTGTACATTTACGTAAATATAAAAAGTTACACACACACGTGACTTCCCAATTGCTTGTAGTGTGCTAACCATGACTTCCCATTCCCAATTGCTTGTAGTGTGCTAACCAATCCAAATTGTTTCCTTGACTAGTTGCGAATGAGATACGTGATCTTAGATTAATCTTAACTATGCTTAGCTCTCGGGCAATAGTTAATACCTGGTTAAAACTCGTGAAAACTGTCGAATGGGTGTATAAGAAAAATACCTTGATGATGATGTATGCTCATTCAGTATATATATAGTGACCTATTGAGAATTATTTGTTATCAGTTTATGATGGTAAAAGATCTTTTTCTCCAATATTTCATAATGCGTGTTATGCTGACAAACTGTGCATCAGCTTTTCGTTGGTTTTGTTTTTTTTAGTGTTCCTAAACAACGTATCTTACGTATAGGTGAAACTTTGCAACAAATATTCATATTAACTTCAAAGACTAATTACAGAAAGTATATTAAAACTAAACTTCTCGATTTATTTTATTTGAAAACACCGTTTTGAAGATTAGTCTCCGCATAACTAGTGAAAAGAACTTCACGTTTGTATCTACCGTCTCCGTGTACAAAAAAACAAAGAGATAAAAGTAGAAAACCCTAGAATCAATACATTATTGGTCCATAAGGACCACCAGAAATGAAAACGATTAAACAAAAAAGAAAAGTTAAAATGGTAGGAATCTATAGAAAATGATCAGGTCCTACATTATATGACACCAATATCTTTTCAAAATGAATTCAACATCTTTACAGATTCAGAAACCAAATCAAATTAATATAATTTTGATATTTCCCCTCAATTAGCATATGCATTGTATAGATGCATTGCATGCAACGCAAATTGATAAGTAAACCGGTCAACGAGAGAGTTAATTAACTTTCCAGGAAATGTAGACGGTACACCTTAACTAAAGACCAGAGGGGTAGAATAGTAAACCTTAATCCTAACCGGTAATCGAAGGACACGTAGCAGCATCGTTATCAAATATTAATTGACAATCCCGAAGCCGCAACAAATAAGTCTCTTGACACCTGTCGGTCATTGAACGGAGATTAAACGGTGTAGTTATCACTACTAATAAGGGCAGTTACGTAACTACACATTCATTAAGACCTATATATAAACACTACTCTTTCGGCTCTTTGAACCGGTGGAAAAAACAAGGTTCTGTCTTTACAAAGAGTTTCGTGTTTCACTCAGATTTTGTTTCTCTCTCTCTCTATCTCTCTTCTACTGATTTTTAGAAAGAGAAGCGTGAAAACACCCTTTGAAGGGAATGCAGAGAGATGGTCGGATCATCGCCGGTGAAGACTAAGCTTTGTGATCGGTTTAACCGATCTGTCGGCGGCAGAAACTGCCACCGGAAACACGTCGAAGACGGGTGATCATATTCAACTCTCTCGTATTCTCCGGACATCGAAAGCTTAACTCTTTTTCTGTTTTATTTTTCTTTTTTTTTTAAAAAATCATTGTAATTAAAAAAAAAACTATGGTCGGAGAGAACGGATCTGACGGTGGAGCAAGCAACGGCCTGCTCCACGGACGTTACGAGCTAGGTCGTCTCCTAGGTCACGGAACATTCGCTAAAGTGTACCACGCACGCAACGTAACAACCGGAAAAAGCGTGGCGATGAAAGTCGTCGGAAAAGAGAAGGTAGTGAAAGTCGGCATGGTGGATCAGATCAAACGAGAGATCTCAGTGATGAGGATGGTGAAGCATCCCAACATCGTCGAGCTACACGAAGTCATGGCCAGCAAATCCAAGATCTACTTCGCCATGGAGCTAGTACGAGGCGGGGAGCTATTCGCCAAAGTCGCTAAAGGAAGGTTACGCGAGGACGTGGCGCGCGTGTACTTCCAACAGCTAATCTCCGCCGTCGATTTCTGCCACAGCCGCGGGGTTTATCACCGAGATCTCAAGCCGGAGAATCTATTGCTTGACGAAGAAGGTAACCTTAAGGTCACTGACTTTGGTCTCTCTGCTTTCACTGAGCATTTGAAGCAAGACGGGCTTCTCCACACGACTTGTGGAACTCCGGCTTACGTGGCCCCGGAGGTTATACTGAAGAAAGGATACGACGGAGCTAAGGCGGATCTTTGGTCTTGCGGGGTTATCCTCTTCGTGCTCCTCGCTGGTTACTTACCGTTTCAGGATGATAATCTTGTCAACATGTATCGGAAGATTTACAGAGGAGACTTCAAGTGTCCTGGATGGCTTTCCTCTGACGCGAGGAGGCTCGTGACGAAGCTTCTGGATCCGAATCCGAATACTCGAATCACTATCGATAAGGTTATGGACTCGCACTGGTTCAAGAAGTCCTCAACGAGATCAAGGAGCGAGCCAGTGGCGGCTACACCAGCGGCTGATCATGAGGATCTTGATATGTCTGTTCACAAGTCGAAAGAAGAGACGGAGACGTTAAACGCGTTTCATATCATCGCGTTGTCTGAAGGGTTTGATCTCTCGCCGTTGTTCGAGGAGAAGAAGAAAGAGGAGAAGGTCGAGATGAGGTTCGCGACTTCTAGACCCGCGAGTAGTGTGATTTCGAGTCTTGAAGAGGCGGCGAAGGTTGGGAATAAGTTTGATGTGAGGAAGAGTGAGTGTAGAGTGAGGATCGAAGGGAAACAGAATGGTCGGAAAGGGAAGTTGGCGGTGGAGGCGGAGATATTCGCGGTGGCTCCGTCGTTTGTTGTCGTGGAGGTGAAGAAAGATCATGGTGATACTCTTGAGTATAATAACTTTTGTAGTACGGCGCTTAGACCAGCTCTCAAGGACATATTCTGGACTTCTACTCCTGTTTGATTATTGTCAGCAACCTGTTTAATCTTGTGTGTTTTAAATCCTGTCTGTAATATATTGTTGGGTTCTAGATTCGGTTCTTGATTCTTAAATGAGGTATCGTTTGAAACTTTGAATCGTGTAAAAAGGTTTGAGTCTTTTCATCATTTGTGTCGTTGCCGATTTGTTGCGGCACGAAGCAGAGAATGTCTGTGTGGTGTGTGTTCGTGCGGTGTTAGAATCGTGTCTTAAAAATTCTATATCAATAAATGATATTTATGAGTAATTTAAGAATGTTCAAGGGTCAATTTTTATGCATTCTGAATGTCTCTTTTATTTAATTTTGCATGTCACTTACGTTGGAAATAATAATTGATTAAAACCATCATATTTTATAAACTCTCCAACTTGTGGTACTTAAGATTCATGTGTATACTGATAAGTCATTTGGATTTGAGTGCGTATTAACTTTGATTCTTCTCCTGGTGTATGTACATACATCAGAACAATGGTAAGATAAGGAATAAAGTGTTATTAGATTAGATGCTCACACGAGATTAGCGATTGGAGAAAGCTTGTGATGTAACCAATCAAGTCAGCGAATTCGGCCTAATAAACTTGGCAAAAGGATTTGCTCCAACGTGGCGGTGGTGCCAATAGTATGATATGATTAGGGATAAGATTTTGTTTCTTCATTTTTACACGTCTCTTACATTCGAATGATTATGACATCATCTTTTGTAACTCTCTTTATATGCTCCAATTTACAATGTTTATCGATTCAGAGACACTTAAGATTCATGTATAGTGATGTGTGTTGACGTAGCTCCTTTAAATTTTTATACATCTTAACTTCGTTAAGTATTTTCCTATCTACACAATAGAAGTACAATAACTCATAATATTTTTCAGATAACTGAAACTCATAAAATTTAGTCTAGTAACTTTTAACTATTGGATATATGATTAATGATATGAAAATAGTGGAGTAGAAAAGAAGGTGGATCCGGATAATACTATAAGGAAAAAGAAAGATGAGGTGGGCACCATAACAAAAGTAGAAGTTGCGTGATTGAGATGGATGTTTCATGATGCACCATATTATATAGAAACAATTACACTCAGAGGCAGTTTATAAGTTTTATTAACACAATAGGGCAGTTTCAGCTACTCACACACTTTTATCTAACTAAATTTCATTTTCACTCCAAAACTAACTAAATAACATTGACAGCTAGTACCCATTACACTAACTAAAATAAAGTGGGCCCTGTAACCTTCTTCTTCCTCTCCCCTTTCTACTTTTCTATAATTTTCGTATGAAATCTGAATCTTCCAAATTCATTTTCCAGAAAAATTATCTTTAATCATTGTCTCTTTGTTTTTTAGTTATATTTTGAGATATATTAAGATATATGGTTGATGGTGGTGTAGTGATGATATATTCGACAACAACATTTATGGTAGAAACGTCGGCAACTCTTGTCATTGGAGTACTAGAACTATGTTCTCGTCACTCTGACTCTATATTTTCAACATCTTTACTTTCCCTTTAGCAGTCACAAGAACCTTAGACATCAATGGCCACTTTTAAGTTTTTTGCACCTTTAGTCCTTACAGTTTTGTATATTTTAAATTGTGTATATGTCTATTTGAATTAAACCCCTAACTTCTTGATTGATAATTCCAATCCATCTTTATAATTTCATAATGGTCCTTGATTTTTTATTTCTTTTATTTTTGCCCCCAAACATTCAAAACAAATATTTTTTCTTTGATATCCCCAAATTAATCAATTATTTTATATAATTTTTGTTAACACATATATGCATATGAGATCATCTAAAAACATTCCAAAGTAAACTAAATGAATTAAAATCAAATAGTAAAAAATATTTTGAATTATTAGATAAAAATAACACATAAAACCATGTGTACATCTGTTCTCATATACGCCATCTTCTATCTGACTTGATTTTCTTCTTTTTATTTTTTTTGAAATGTTATGTATGTATAAATGATTTGTTCATTTGTCATATCATATTTTTTGTAAAAAAAAAAGTTGTGTGTACATTACATTTAAATTGTAGATGTGTACACCTAATTTTGTATTATACATCAAAATGATTGTGTACACATTATTTGTTTTTGTAGGTTTTATATATAAATAAGTAAGCCTCTGCGACTTCATGAACTCATGTTTATGTTACACAATCTACGTGTGAATTTTTTTTCATTTTTCCCCATGTACACGCATGGTAGAGGCATCTTTGAAATCTGACTAAACTCAAATATCATCCTTCACATTGTTTAAGATCTCATTAGTGTGTGTGTTTTCATGGTAGGTCTTAGCTTGATTAATATCTGACTGTCTTACATATATACACTATCATATTTGTCGTACACATGTACACCTCCTTATCGTACACACACAGTGAAGATGACGATGATACAAAATGAACATACTGTAAATTTGTGTGCATTCGTTAGTGTACATGTGTACATTAAAGGTCAACGTACATGTGTACAACAAATATGGTAGTACACTTGTGTATAACACTGAAAATTAGGTTACATATATCTTATAGTGTACATGTGTTCAAATTGCCTGATAGTGTCCATGTATACATTTATAGTATCTACATGATTTTGGTTCACATGTTAATTAGTGTACATGTGTTCAAATTAGGTTGAATCATGTCATATATTACTCAAATCATATATAGATGAGATCTGATACATTACCATAATATCACATTATCTAATTGGATAATTTTGTTAGTTTCAAAATGTGTACAACCATATAGTGTACAAGAAAAAACGTTAAGGATAAAAAATGCACAACTAATAAGTTTTGGGTTTAAAAAATAATTATACAAAACATTAAGGACCAAAAGTGCAAAAAACTTAAATTGGCCATTGATGTTCTCAAGCTTCTACAGTGTCGTGACGGTGAAAGAGATGGATGAATGAACGTGTTGGAGGAGATGACAAAAAGACTACGACACATCTGAGATTCGGTGAAGTAGGTGGAAGATAAGAAGCTTTTACACAGATCTGAATTTCTATCAAGTGACGTTGTCCAACTTCTGCATCTTCATCTTCTTTAATAATTAAAACCATTAAAGCAGAGAAAGAAAAGTTTAAAACCATATATATCAACATTTACAGTGACGGCCACTCAATTTCCTCATCTTCATCTTTTTAATCTTCAAAACAATTATAACATAAAGAGAGAAAACTGTTTCTATGTTACATACAAGGAGAAGAAAAATAAAATTAAAAATTGTAAAACCATTTAATTTCAAGAATGCACGTGGTTAGAAAATAGTTAGGATAGTTAGCTTGTAGTTTTAATAAAGTGTCTTAGGAGCAACAACTGCTCTAGAATGTAATAAAAAACTTGAAACTGCCCTACAATGAAAATAACTCTATTATATATTATCGGTTAAACATTTTATTAATAAAGTTTCATCATATTCGACATGTGATCAATTACAGAGATGCACAATTTATTACTTCAAAAAATAACAGTGAAATCAAATATTTCAACACGTATAAACGTCCTAATAAACTTTAGCTATTGGCATTTTTCTTGGTCATTTTAAGAAGCCTCGGATGATGTATTGCAAAAGCTTTAAATTCTCGTAACCAATGTTTTTGATAAAATCACTACAAGAAAATCTGTTTTTAGCCGCGAATTGTTTTTGTAGCTGTGATCGGTATTTTGTAGCTATTTGATCGATAGCTACGAACGACCACAAAATTGTTTTTGTAGCGTCAAGCTTGTGGATAATGATAAAATGTGGCTATTTGTGGCAAACGTTCTACGACGTAACCACAGGCTTATTTTGTAGCTAATATCCACANCACTACAAGAAAATCTGTTTTTAGCCGCGAATTGTTTTTGTAGCTGTGATCGGTATTTTGTAGCTATTTGATCGATAGCTACGAACGACCACAAAATTGTTTTTGTAGCGTCAAGCTTGTGGATAATGATAAAATGTGGCTATTTGTGGCAAACGTTCTACGACGTAACCACAGGCTTATTTTGTAGCTAATATCCACATATAGTGACAAATATATTTGTGGCTATACTAATCTGTGCAACATAATAAATTGTTGCTAATTTGTAGATTTTGTTTAAAAAATATGAATTGTATAATAAATTATTAATTATAAATTTTGTAATATATATACCAATTAATCTATAATATCGTTATTGAGAAAAAATAATATTGACAAAACAAATTATATTTACAAATAGTATTTTATTTTTGATATGGTTTACAAATAATAGCCTGGTTTTGGTTTACAAAATAGGTTTACACATTTGGTTTACAAACTTAAACCTAAACCTAATGAAATTAACCTAGACTTTATGTCTTGGATTGTTTTGCGCCGTCATGACCAAACGTTTGTTTGGAAGTTGGAACTGAAGGATGGTCTTGTTGCTTCGTCGTCTTTAAACCCATCTTGGCCATCACAAGCTTGACCGGCGGTGACGAGTTGACCAACTGAAGAAGAAGCGACTTCCGATTGAAGTTGAGAGCGGCAAGATTTCGAGGCTCGAGCAGAGATCTAGAGATTTTGGTGGAGGCCGTTCATCGAGGTTTGAGTTGAGATGAAGTTGACCGGCATGAAGAAGATGTGAGACTGAAGCTGAGAACGGCTAGATTTTGGGGCTTGAGCAGAGGACTCTGGAGACACGTTGGAGACGCAGAGGAGACGTGAGTTCCGACGAACCAGATCCGGTGGCTAAGGCAGTGAATTCGTTTAAGGACTAAGGAGGTACAAATCGAGCGATGGACGAGAAAGGGGAGGAAGAAAGTGAAACAAAAAGAGAAGAGATGCACATCATCCTCATCTCGTATCTGGTATGGAGGAAGAAGGAAGAAAATGATAGAGGAGGAGGAGGAGATAAGAAAGAAAGAGAAAGCACGTAAAGAAAAAAATATAAACAAAATGAAGCAATCTGGACCATCAGATTGAATTTAATCAAGGGTCCTGATTGTGATCCGCACCTTTAATGTATTACCCACTCAGAAATAAGATGATAACAAACCTTTTTATTTTGAATATATTTTATGATTGGTTATGTCTCACCTTTTTAAGGTTCCACAGTTTTATTTGGTAACTAAAATTGTTTCAGATCGTCGACAAATTTTTTTTGTTTCAGATCAAAATTTTGATTTTATGATTAATGTTTCAAAATTTTCATTTGGTTAGGAGATAAAAATTAGGGGAATATGTATAAGGTTTGAAATTAGGGTTTAATTACTTT